GCATATAGGATTAGTGTTCGATAACTTCAATGGAAGGGCAGCACACTTGGGTTATGATCCCAGTGGGGTCTGCATTGGAAAAGCTTTGAGAATCAAACTTCCCATGAACATTCTTGCTTTGTCAAAAAGTTTCCTTCCCCCGAGTTTGCCCCCTTGAGATGACAATCTAAGACTTTTAGGCCTGAAAACAAAAAGGCAAAGGACATGCCTTTGACTCAGACATTTTTTTGCCAGTATTTGTTATGTGGCTAAAGTTGAATGCTTGTTTTGTCTAAATATTTACTGTATATGGAACTTTTTTCTCTTCTTTTTCTAAGTTATGCTCGGGGTAATTATTAATTCTGTATTTTGTGTTTTAAATGAACCCATGAACCCACTGAAGATAATTATCAACACTTTTGTTAACAGGTAATATATAAATATAATTACTAATATAATATTTTTTTAAAGAATGAAAACCCTTGTTTTCAAAAATGGCACCACTCATACCATTCCAACGGGATTTTCTCTTACTCTTCTCTCTCCTGCATGCCACATCTAGCAGAAGTGCTCCAATAGATTTCCCAATCCTCATGATCAGATCTGTGGAAAAGCGCATGGAACTGCAGGAGAGGTGGGAATCCTTTCACATGAACTGTGGCATTCTTTTGGCAGGGGGACAAAACTGGATTTCACCTCATGTTTATTAGGCACATTCCTATCATTATGAAAGTGCAGAAACTATCTGGCTTGATGTTGGCATGCTGAAGACTTTTTGTTAGTTTTTATATTTCTTTAAATGTCAATTTCTCAGTTCTTGTTTTGTGAAGAGCGCCAAAAGAGTCTTGACAGAAAGGAACTATTGTTCAATGGCAGCGCACATGCTTTGTAGGTAGAATGTCCTAGATTCATTCCCTGGCATTTCTAGTGAAATGGCCAGGGACCATGTGATGTGATCTGTTTGAGGCCCTGAAGTCCTGCTCTCAGTTGGCTGTGGAGGATTCTCATTGGTTCTGTTCCCCAAAAGGTGGCATCTGATTGGCTCAACTCATTTACAAGTCCCACTAAAGTGGGAGAAATTATCTCAAGTAAACAGCATATAGGTGCAGCCTTGAGGTCAGCACAATGCCTTTTGGAGTATGTTTCAGGGATGGAAGGACCTTGGAACTTTAAGCTTGTTGAAATTCTTCAGACTTCAAAGTGTGGATTGGTTTGCTCCCATTTTCATTTGTGATCCATTTTGTGGTTTGGTAGAATGAGAAAATTGCACATTTTTGTATGCATTTTTCAGGGATCGGCACATTTCCTATATTAACTAAAATGTGAAAATGAGTAATTTGAGGTGAAAGTTTTTTTTAAATACTCTTTTTGAACTGAGCAAGTTCAGGTGATTTGTGAAATGAAACAAAATTCTCATGCCTGCCCTCTCCATTTAACCAAGCCCAGCCAGTGAGAATAGAGCATACCTCTACCGAAAAGTGAGGGGAAAGTGTGGCAACAGCAGGCATGGACTACGTGAGGGCCTCCACCATCTACCAAAACACAAAAAATTGGGTGGTCAGTGTTTGTGGAGGCCTGAAAGGCATACCTCATTTGGATTTCTTTCAACCCTGCCCATGCTTCTGCTGTACAAATGATTTGATTAAATCTGACAGAATAAGTAGAGCCAAAAGTGTAGGCAGTTCAAGGTTTAATTCAGAGGTGTAGACTTTTTTGGTCCTGACAAGGGCCCCATTCCCTCAGGAAGATGCTAGCTGTAGGTGGGTTGGTCCTAAAAGTAGGTATTGGTGCTGTCACCTTTGTTCTCTTTCTTGCTTGATATTTATATTAAAGTTTTTATACACTCTTTCTTCCTAAAGGCCAGCAAGGTGGTCAAGCACTAATGTAAAACCTTGCTGCTTTTTCTTCTCTTTTTCTTTTCTCTGCCTTTTCTCTTTGTCTCTCTTGACACCTTTTCTATTTTCTCTCTTATTCACACTTCCCCCTCTTCCCTAATATGTTCCTGGGAGGGACAGGTCATGATAAATGTCTGAACTGATAGTTTGTACATTTTTTGCCCTTCTGTTGCTCCTATGCTCCCAGTTTTTTCCTTCTTTTCCACCGCCCTCTCCTGGCCTCCTTTCTCTCCCTCTGGGCTTCCCCTGACTGCATGAAATTAAATAGAGGGCTGCGTGAAATTAGTCCAAGGATTAAAGGTACTGTCTTTTATGCTTTCCAGAGTATGTGACTTAACTGAATCATGATTTCAGTTTTAAAAATCTGTAACACCTGGCTAACGCTAGAGGTGCTGGTTGAATGCATACTCTGACTTTGCATTCCTGTATCTAAATTTGGTCCCTATAAATTTCTTAACATTAAAAATATTACCAAGAATTGTATGTTTAAAATATAACTTCAGTCAAAGCAGGATACCCTGTTACATATAGATACTAATAAATTCTTAAAGGGAACAAAGGCCTGGCCACCTGTTAAACACTTTCTTAACTCTATTTGTGGGTAAAGCCTGAAGACACATAACTGAATGTGGAGCAAACAGACCTATCCCTTTGGTACCCTGATTTGTTTATACTATGTCTGGGAGAGGGCGGTGATCATGATAATGATAATAGTGATAATAACTCTAAATAATCATATCTGTCCAAAGCATCTCTACTACTAAGTCACCTCTGGTGGGTAGAGAAATACATTGTGTTAAAATGAAAGGCAAGGTACTGTTTTCTTTTATACTTTTCAGTTACCATCTCTGGTGGTAGGAAATGGTTAACCTCCAGGTAAATTGGTGGAAAGTGCTATTAAAATAAAATGGTAAGCATATGGAAGGAAAAGTCTTACTGAAAAACGTTAGTGTGGATTCAGCAAAGGTTTGTTCTGTCTCACTGATATTTTAGAGTTCTTTGAGAGTGTCAGTAAACATGTGGACAGGGGTGATTTGGTAGATGTTGTTTGGAACATGTGCTTTTTAGGGTTATGCACTGGGAGTGGTGTTTTTAAGCCTCTTTAAAAATATATGATTTGGGATTAGGAGTGAGGAGGCCAGATTTGCTGATGACATCAAATTATTTAAGGTTGCTAACACAAGAACAGGAATGAAGACTCTAAAAAGATATTCCCAAGCTGGGAGAATAAGTATGAAAATAGCAAATACTATTCTGTTTAAATAAATATAAAGTTATACATACTGGGACAGAAATTTCCAACATAATAGGATCCAAGCTGGTAGCAACTGACCAGGAAAGTGATATTTGGTTGTGGTAGGTAGCCCAAACTATGTTAACCCAAGATGTGGTTGCTGTGAAAAAGGTAAATTCCATGTTTTCATCATCAGAAAAGGTACTGAAGATAAAAATGCTAATATCAAACTGCTCTTATACAAATCTATAGTTTGACCACACTTGGAATACATTATATATTTCTGGTCACCTCAAAAAGGATATTGTAGAGTTAGAAAAAGTGTAGAAAAGGGAAATCAGAATGAGTAAGGGGCTGGGGCAACACCTCTGTGATGAAAGGTTACAACATCTGGGACTGCTCAGCTTAGTGAAAAGGTGAGTGAGAGGGCACATGGTGGTAGTGTACAGAATTATGCATGGTGTGAGAGAAAGTAGATAGAGATATATTTTCCCCCTCTCCCATAATAACCCTGGGTGATCCTATGAATCTGAATTGTAGGAAATTCAGGACAGATAAAAAGAAGTATTTATTCACACAGTGCGTAGTTGAACAATGGAATTTGCTATGACGACATGTAGTAATGACCACCAGCTAAGATAGCTTTTAAAGGGGATTAGTCAATTTCTTGGAGGATAAGGCTAGCAATAGTTATTGGTTATGATGGCTATATATAATAACCAGTATCAGAGGCAGTATGCCTACCTCTTCCAATTGCTGGGGAGCATAAGTGAGGAAGTGCGTTATCCCGCTTGCGGGTTTCTCATGGTCATCTGGCTGGCTACTGTGTGAGCAGAACCATGGACTAGATAGGCCTTTGGTCTGTTCAGTGTGACTCTTCAGTATGTCTGTTCAGCAAGTCCGGTCTCCATGGCTTGTTTCCAGGAAGGAGGTGGGATCAAGGTAAGCTTGTTTGGCTTATGGCAACAGCTGCCTCAGAAATCTTTTGTGAGCTGTCCCGAGACTATGTAGCAAGGGGACGGCATATAAAAACTTAAAAAAAAAAAAAAACCTCAGAAGAAATTTCCACACCGTGCTTGTGCAGATGGCTGATAGGAAGAAAGTTGGTGAATCCATGCCACTTGTTTGGATATCAGTTTGTTTGGATGCTTTGGATACAAGTCAGTACTGCCAGAAGAGACTAAGGGAAGATTCTGGGAACTGGGCAAACATAATTGTTTATCTGCAAGTCTTATTCTGGCTTGGCTTGTTCAACAAACCATGGTTAAAACAAGTCTTCTCTTATCATTATGGATATTCTTTCATATATGAAAGTGTCCATCATTCAGCATATCCTGACATCATTGCCGAGTGAAGTTTTCTGTAAAGTGATTAAATTCCTGTTGTTGGCATCATAGGAAATCAGAAACAGGCACACAACCTTGAGAGGTTGGTTGTACAGGTGTGAGCAAGGGAAGCAGTGTATTTGGAGTTCTCAATGAGAGTCAATGGGGTAGGATGAAGTTATGTCACATGAGGTTTTTTCTCAAGATACTTTGGGGCAGCATCATGACATACTAAACATCCCTAGGAAATATAAAATGCTTTCATCTGGGGACACAGTTTTCGAGGAGGAAGGTTTGGAATGGCTGAGAACCTCTTACAATGCATTTCGTCTTATTAAACAAAAGAAAACAAAACAACAATATTAACTACTTTGAGGGAATGATTGATATATTTGTTTGTACAGTTGTTCCTGATGGTGAAGTAGGTGGAATTGGAGTTTGTAATGGAGTTTATTTCCTTGTCTGAGCCATTTTGGGAAGACGACTTCTATTTTTTTTTTTTAAGAACAACAAAAACAACAAAAAACCAAGCAACTGGTCTCATAGAAGGAATCCTTTTTTTGTCAGGTTCCATGGATGTCCTATAGTTTCTGTTGCAGCAAAGCCTGGTGGACCAGAAGCCCCAGAAACTGTGATTCCAATAGGAATTTCTGAATTAATTGAGGTACGTGCCTTGGAAAACTTGTTACTTAAAAATATAAACTGATGGTTGAAATCTATTGACATGATAGAAATCTTCATGCATGAACAATAGTGTTTTATGGGTGTAAAACTATTTCTTGGGAGAGGATATATGCTGTTGTAAACTGGCTGGAGAGCTTCCATTATGGGGTGGTATAGAAATGAAATGGATAAATTAAAATGTGAAGTAATACGGTGCACCAGTGAATGACACCACAACTTTGTGTCCCTCTGGCCAAACAAGAAGCAGTGCAATGTAGGTGCCAGGTAAGCCTCTCTGGGAAGTTAATTCTAGAGTTGGGGTGTGGCAATAAAAAAGACCCTCTACCTAGTAGTCACCCCCCGACTTTCCTTGACAGGGGCTTCCACAGAAGGACTGCTGTAGATGGTCTTAGGGTGCAAGCAGGTATATATGGGAGAAGGTGATCCTTCAGGTAAGCTGTCCCAAGCTATTTAGGGCTTTGAATATTAATGGCAGCACTTGTTGTCCTGTCATTGGGCCCAGACACAAACTCATCCAGTGCAGATGGTCAAGGACTGGTTTAGTATGTTCATGTTGGTCCTTAACAGTAATCTTCTTGCCCTCTTTTGGAACAGTTGAAGTTTCTGGATTATTTTCAAAGGCAGCCTTGGGTATACTGCATTGCATTAATCCAACAGAGATGTTGTCAAACTGCATCTAAGCTATCTCTGTCCAGATAAGGATGCAGTTGGTGTTTCAGTATTAAACTGATAAAAAGTGCTCCATTGCATGAGGTCCATCTATACCTCTAGTGACAGATTCAGAATGGCTAGTGCCTCACCTGGATTAGATGAAAAAGAGTTAGAGTGAGGTGTCATTTGCATATTAATGACAATATGTCATTATGCCCACACCTCCAGAAAATCTCCCCCTGTAGTTGCATGACAGTGTTGAATAGCATGGGGGCAGAGGAACCCCCATAGCAGAGCTGTCAAGACACAGAGCAGTAATCCCCCTGTACCACCTTTTGGAATTGGCCATCCAAGTAGGAGCAGAACCATTGCAGTGCAGTGCCTCCAACTCCCAACCCAGACAGTCTGTCCAGAAGGATATCATGTTCAATGGTATCACTAGTCAATGAGAGGTCCAAGAAAATCAACAGGGTCACTCTCCCCCATCCCTTTCCTGGCAAAGGTCATTCAGTAGGTTGAACAAGTCAGTTTCTGTCCCCAGACCAGGCCAGAAGCCTAATTGAATTTAATCATTCAGGAATGCCTGGAACTGAACTGCTCAAGCATTTTACCCAGGAAGAGATAATGGCTACTGGACTGGTTATTATCATCTGAGCCCAGGTTAGAGTTTATTTTAGAAGTGGCCTAATTACCATCTCTTTTAAAAAGACTGGCATCACTCCTTCTCTCAAGGAAGACCTTATGACCTCCTGGACATGTCTACCCAGAAATAAATCATATTTTATTTGGTGGTAAGGTAAAGGTTTCCCCTTGACATTAAGTCCAGTCATGCCTGACTCTAGGGGGTGGTGCTCATCTCCATTTCCTGGCCGAGGGAGCCAGCGTTTGTCTGCAGACAGTCTCTGTGGTCACGTGGCCAGCATGACTAAACACCGAAGTGCACAGAACTCTGTTACCTGCCCACTAAAGTGGTACCTTTTTATCTACTTGCATTTGCATGCTTTCGAACTGCAAGGTTGGCAGGAGCTGGGACGGAGCAACGGGAACTCACCCCGTTGTGCAGGTTCGAACCTGTGACCTTTCGATCAACCAGCCCAGCAGCACAGCGGTTTAAACCACTGCGCCACCTGCAGTCCCTTATTTGGTGGTACATAATCCCAAATAAATATATAAAGGGTTGCACTGGTTGCCTAGTTTGCCCACTCACAGATGTATACATGTGGGACATCTATTTTTCCCATTTCAAGGATGGTGAAATGAAGCCAAGAAATAGTGAATCGCTTGATTATAGGCTCACATCCTTGGTGATTAGGTATATTTATTTTTATTTTATTTATTAAATTTATATCCTGGCCGTTAGCCAGATGACTCTTTGGATGGCTCGTTAAGCATCAGTTCCTGTGATTCATGAATGACACCTGAGGTCTTTCAGGTAGGAAAGGAAACATGGGAGAGTATTTCATTGAACTCAACACATTTCAGACTGATTTCCTCTGAGACCCTCTTATGCACAACCAATTTCAACCAACTTTTAGGATTCTCTCATGTTTATACATATATGCACACACATGCACACATACATTTTTAAGATTTATTTTAACAAACTTTTGGCCATTGCTGCATTTTGGAGAGATTATGCTGAACTGAGCTTGGTAAACCTTTTGTTTTTGGGATAGTAGCAAAGGCATAGAAGGACAAGGGGTGGGGGAGAGTGATGCACACACAGAGAGGAAAACAGATCTAGAGCGAAGGACAACATAATTTTAGCATCGGTCACAATTCTCAAAGGTAAAGATGGCAAAATTCTGCATTAGTCATGATTGTCAAAGGCAAAATTCTACATTTTTGAGCTTTCTGAGAACAGGTGGATGCATTTGTGTCCTTCCTTCTCCCAGAGGATGCAAGCAGTTATTCCCCACTGCAGTGCTGCAGGTTTTGCATTACTTTTTGCTGGCTTTCTGCCTGTTGCATTGTTTTGCTGGCCAAGCAGATTGTGCTGCACCAAATCTTTAAGGCAGAAAATCAAATTGTGTTGCTGCTGTTAGGTGTGTACCTCCTGGATAGCATGCACAGTTTATTTGACATTGTCCTGCTCCAACCTTGCTGCAAGAGTCCGGGAATCAGGTAAACTGTATCTAGTGGCGAAATCATCTGTCTACCTTCACTTCTTTATGCTTGATATGGCATTTCACCAAGTTGTTGGGCATATTTTGTTTTGCTCTTAGGTTCTAAAGTCAGAGGCTTACCTCCCAACAAGAGACCCTTCAGGATCTTTCCTTATGGCAGTTGATCACTGCTTCTCCATTAAGGGGCAAGGCACTGTGATGACAGGAACGATTCTTTCAGGCTCCGTTAACATTGGGGACAGTGTGGAGATTCCTGCTCTCAAAGTGAGTATGTCGTTTTTAACATTTCAGTAAAAGAGGGTGAAAGAACCATACAGAACCTAAGACTAGTTTTGTTTTTCCTTCTTTTTTGGTTTGTCCTAACTTGCCTAACCAAGCTCCTTGCTTCCTTGTTGGGAACATAAGAAACCATGTGCAGTTCTTAACATGGTATTATTAAGCAGATTCACAAAGAATGTAATTTGCAAGGGAAATGCATGCCTGAGGCTGACATTATAAGAGGAGGGGAAAGGTCCCAGAAACAAGGACATGGAAATTTTGGCTAGACAAGCCATCCAAATAGAGAGAAAATCTTGCCTGATGTTAGCAGTAGAAAACAATGAGAAGGGAACAAATTCAGCTTAAATAATACATGTGGCTTTGTTCACCCTGCCTAAGAAAATGGAAGCCCCTGACTGTAAGAAAAGTATATAAATGCCTGAGTGGCACCGGGAAAGAAAATAGTGAGCTCTTGCTAGAAAACATTATATGACATCAGCTTATGAACAAAAGCTGAAACAAACCATTGTAATTAGTTTTGCATATATTTCTAGTAGTATATCATGTTTCTAAAATGCATGGAGAGTAGTAGAGTAATAGCCGCCCATCATCATCATCATCATCATCATCATCATCATCATCATCATCTACATACTACCCAATAGCTGATGTGTTTTGGGCAGTTAGCCACAATTAAAAACAAACAAAGCAGTAAAAACCATTTGAAGAATTAAACACATTCAGTATATTCAGTAAACTAGATCACTGCAGATCTAAACCCCCAAATGCTATTATATGCCATTAACTACCTCTGCAGAGAGGATACTTTTAATCCAAAACTATAAAACTATCTGAGTTAGTGTTGGTGTTCCAATATTGTTCCATAATGGGGTGACTGCCAAGGTTCTCTTCTCTGTTGCTAGCAGCCAATCTTCTCTCTTGTAGGCAGGCCTTAGATGCTGAGTTGGGTATCTGGGTAGATTTTAACTGGGAGAGGTGCTTCAAGCCATGTAAAAGCCATGTAAGACTTTTTAGGTTAAGACCAGCACCTGGAATCAGGCTGGGAAGCAGACTGGGAAGCCAGTGCAAGCAGAATAGGTGATATAACTTCAAATCTTTTTGTCCTGCTTATTAATCCTGCTGTTGCATTTGGCAGCTTCTGAACAATCTTCAGAGACACCCCCATGCAGAGTGCAGTTATATAAGTTGCAGTAATCTAATTTGGAGATTAGATTCTTTGAGTACCACTTTCTGGAGCTGGCTATCCAAGTAGGAGCAAAACCACTGCAGTATATCTCCCCTGCTCCCAGCTGAGACAGCTCTTGTAGTAGGATACTGTGCTTAATGGTATTGAAAGCCACAAAGAGGTTCGGACATAGCAACAGGGTCACACTTCTCTCTCTTTCACTCAACATAGGTCATCACACAGGGCAACCAAAGCTGTTTCTGTGCCAAAACTGGCCTAGACCTTGACTGAAATGGATGCAGATATTCAGTCTTACCCTGGAGCTCTTAGAGCTCATTCTTCCATTCATGGACCGTGCTTAGGAAAGGAACATTCACTATAAGCATAAGTTGTTAAGGTATTTGGGTCCAGAGAGAGTTTCTTCAGGAGTGGCCTGAACTGTTTCAAGCAGCATGAGACGACTCCCTTTCGCAAAAAGGCATTGATCAGCTCCCAGCTCCCAGCTCCCTTCCTCTGCTGGTTTTTATCAGCCAAGAGGTGCATGGATCCAATATAGATGTTGTTGCACAAAGCCATCCAAGCATCTTGTCAACATCCTTGAGTTGCATCAATGGTAACTCATCCAAAAAAGCTTTACCAGGCTGTGGGCTGAGTACCTTACCTGATTCAACTGCCCTACATGAAAATCGAAATCCTGGCAGATGCAAGAGATTCTTTTTTCCTGGAAATGCCTGGTCTGATATTGCAGCACTCTTCAGACAGGGCTAGGATGTCCTTGTGGCCAGAATGCAATATGCACTGAACAACTCTAAAAGACTACTGGGCAGCAAAGAAAATATTGAACTGGAGCCAGTGAAAAGTTGTTTCTTTGCCCCCATACTACTCCTAAATATACCTGACTATATAATGTACCAGGGTTTGATTGCTAATTTATTTATTTATAAAATTTGTATGCCGTCCAATTTCTCACGTCTCTGGATGGCTAACAGCATAAATAAATTGATGACCCACTCTGGCTGCAATTAATAAAATACAGTAATACATATGAGTTCCTATTTATTCAGGTATAATTATATCTGTTTGAAGTTTGTGAGCCGCCCCGAGGCTTCGACGAATGGGGTGGCATAGAAGCCTTCTCAATAAATAAAAAAAATAAATAATTTTCTGTCTTCACAGCTAAATTGTACGCATGTTTATTCAGAAGTAAGTGTTCAATGGGAATTACTCCATTTGAATGGACATAGGTTTGTACCCTTAGACATTTTACTCAAGTTGTTCTGAGGACTAGTTTTCTTCTTGTAATCCTAAATATTATAGATGATTTGAAAATTTATGAAAAATGAAGCAGCCCTCTTATTCACTTAAAAGTATGTTGCACTTTCAATGAATTTAAGTCATAGCTTGCATTTTAATTACTACAAAATCAGCAGGATGGGTTTCTTCTTTTTACTGGAGAATTGATTGAAGGGAGGAAATATTGGAAGGAAACAATAAATAAGTGAGGAATGGGTTTTTCAGCAACTGACCGTTTGATAGTATTGTTGGGAAATGCAAATACATCTTTATAAAGAAAGGTTGCTTATATGTGCCTTTGTGATATAAAATCAGACCTGCAGTATCCCTGTTCCTCTTGCCCAAGAAGAACCAGAATTTTCTTTTTCCCTGAAACTTTATTATTCATCTTCCCCTTTAAGTGACTGAGAGTCTCCGCTCACCTGAGACAACTGCTGCATTGTTGCAAAGTTAATTGTATTGTCTCCTAGCTTTCCATTTTGCTGCATTGAGGCTTTGTATCCTGTTACCTGTTGGGCTGCAGCAAACAGCCCTGTTCTTATAAAATCACCTGTTCTGGAATGTCAGTACCCACACCCAAACTGTGTTATGATTCATGTGCCTTTTTCTTTGCCATATCAATACTCTGTTAATCACTGATATTTACTGTAACATTATCTCATAGCCCCTCTGCAGTCACAGTGTTCTGTTCATGGATACATTATCTTTCGAAATGTACCATTCTTCTCTCATCATCAACCCTGCTTCTGTGTACATGACTCAAAACCTATAAAACACTCTGTATATGTTCTGGAACTGTGTAGTTGGTGGGCGTACCTCTACCTGACAGTGTTGTTCATGAAGGTTTGTTCTGCAGAGGGCTTTCCTGGGTGTTCTCATCAATAAAACTGCTGAGGTTCATAACTTAGAGGTCTCCCTGTGGATTCAAACATTCATTCTTGTGGACAGGATTTCCTGACAGTATTAAAAATGTTGCACTTTACTGTAAATTACTCATCTCTGAGATGTAGTTTTTTCAGATGACCTTGTAAGATTTGTCACAGAAACAACAAAATGAGGAAAACGTTTCACTCTTATGCAAAATAATAGGATTTTATAAATGTAAGAGTTGAAAGCCTGGATTATTTATTTATTTTATTTGAAGCATTTTTATCTTGCCAGTTGGTCAGTTGGCTAGTGGAGCAGCTTACAAGAATCCATAATTAGGCAGTCTTTGCATTCTGATTCACAGTCCAGAAAGATACCAAGCATAATGAACGGGATTGGGAAAGAGGATGAAAAGAGCATGGTGTTGATGTTTGATTTCAGATGAATGGAATGTACTTATTTGGAACCAAATGTATTCAGGTTTGTACTGATTCTGTGGCATTCCTGGGCTAGCCTGTTCCTCTTCTCTTTCTTCTCCTCTGCAGTTTCTCTGCTTTTGAATTTAAACTTTTCCCATCCCTCAGGCCAAAATGCTTCCTTAGAAATCTGTTTGGTGGCAGTTGAGGGGAGGAAAGACTACCACTCAGAGCTAGGTGGCACCTTACCAAATTGAGTCCTCTAAGACTTAGATTAAACAAATTAAAGGGATTTACAGTGTGTGAGCAGATCTAGAAAATGCTAATTTAAAAGCCCACAAAAGTGTGGGCTTTTAAAACTCTGTTTATGACATCAATGGATTTGATGCATGAATTGGTTTTTGTTCTAGCAGTTCCAGGTAACATACCATCACAGTAAGATAACATACTGCAAGGAACACTCAAGCATTAGATATTTTTCTTTAAAAAAAGATAGCTAGATGTAATAAAGCCAGCAAAATCTAGCCCTAAACTATGATATTGGCATCACTTCTTCATTATCACCTCAGGTTCCTTTCATGTTAGCACATTTATCAAAGCCTTCACATAACCAACAGTTTATTTTACTATTATGCTTTCAATTTATGCTTGCCTGTCGCTTATGCTTAACCTTAACTTATGCAGAATATTATTGCAGTTAGATGGCTATGCATCTTTGCATTATACATATGCAGACATAAAAGGTTAGAAGTTAGAATTGCTGATTACATTTGCTTTCCCACCCTTGTCTGCTCCATGGAGGTACCTGTGAGATTCTCAGTCCTATGGAGAAACAGAGGAGGCAGTTTTTATAACATACTGTGGATTGTGACACTCCTTGACCTTTCTTTGCCCTGACCCTTTGCTAACTGAGATTGACAGCTGGTGCCCACTGGGCATTGGGGACATTGCAAAACAGCTGCTTTCCAAATTCAAGGAACCCTCCCAGCAAATAAAGTGGCATCTCGTACCTATTCTGCTAATAGACTTCGACATCTTTGACCGCTTGAACTTGCACAAAGGAGGGACAGAGCAATTAAAATAAACAGTGACATTCTCGAACGCCCATACATTCTGATTGAGGTTGAGAATGCTAGCAGCGCACAGATTCCTTTACACTGTTGCCTATGTAAATTGCCATCTGGGGTTGATTATTGGAACTGCAATGAGAGAAGCTTGTGTGTGTGTGTGTGTGTGTGTGTGTG